TAGCTGTCTAGGAGTATCTCCTTCAGGGTGCGATAGAACATGCCTAAACACAAGGAAATATCAAAGTCTTTAAACTTAACTCACGGCTCCTTTCGAGATCATGCGTCCTGGCTTTAAATTTGCACTGTCATTGATCATCTGGCGTTTAACGGAATCCATAAGCTAATAGCATCCTCAGAACCAGCATCAACTCTCGGCATAGAAAGTTATCAAGTGCATATCCAGACTGTTTGCGATGGCGTTTCAAAATGTACTGTCGCATGGTTTGAGCTTCACCGCAGATTTGTCACTTCAGCCTCAAAGAATATTCTGGAAAGTATCACTGCGGCAGGTGTCAGTACAGTCATATCCTCGATCTGCAATTACCTTTTCGCGTTTCTTCATTTTGCTTTTGCTGTATATGTTTTATTTTATTCATTTATCAATTATTCAGTCCATTTTCATTGCTCCTGTTCTACTTGTTATTTCCTATTAACTTTAAACATGTGTAATGCTGGCAGCTTCATCTAAGATGTAACACTTGCTGTGCTATTCTCATATATTCAGCAATTTGACTGTAATAATTATGCCATACGGTAATTTTGTACTTCGTCTTACAGTATATATATACTTTATATACTCAAACTTTACCCCATGCCGCAGAGTTTGCAGCAGCTTAACAGGTCTCTAGCGGAAATTCGACGAATTTTGGCTCCCTTGCTGGCAATACAAATTCTGTCGCTGATCGCCTCCACCGCACCGAACGCCCAGCACGAGCCGCAGTTGCCTTGGTCTCTTATTTCACCGATCGTCGGGCACATGTACCACTCTTTGCGTGCGTCAAATTCTTCCGGAATGGCAACGGACGACAGGTCCGAGTGGCTGACCACACGCAGCTTTATTTTCGGGTTCGCGTACTGCGGATTAACTCCCATCAGAAGCTGAACATCGTACAAGGATCGGCCTTCAAAGTACGAGTTGTAGCCGGCCTAAAACAACAGCATCAAGCAAGCGCTGAATGACTGAAACATACTACCAAAGTCTACATTTCGTTCAGGAAGTAATCGTCATCGGTATCGTTGACTTTATACCCGTCAGTTTCAATACCACAGTCGTTAACTGACCAAAAATATAAGTCCATGCCTCGGAGCGCTTAGCTTCTGCAATCGCCTTATTTTGCACACAGTACTTCGCATCGCCCTCTCTCCCAGTTGTACAGGGAACCACCTAAATAGGCGACGGCTCCATGGCATATGAGAATTTGCAGAGCTTCACGTTTCGCCTCGTTTTGCGGGCAAGAGCCATACTCATCATCAGCATCGTTGCGGAAGCCGGTTCTCCTTTAACGCTACCTCAAAACAACTCCAAACATAGGCTCACGCAGTCGCGAGCAAAAAATATCCCACTGAGCCTGTGGTCTACTCAAGTGACCCCCCCCCTATTATGAACAAGGGGATGGTGCACTGTGAGTGGAATATAATATGATTTCAAAACGGTTTTAGACAACGTCCAAGCATTACGGTAAAGGTTATCCGGTCTACGATGAACCACATGCGACGACGCATGTTGTGGCAGCGCGCGCACGATTTCTTCGGCTTCGACCGAATTCCCTCAATCCAACATTACACTGAGCAACTGACGAAGGAGATTAACTCTGACGAAGTGGACCCAGATAAAGCAGTGGTTTCTGAAAACTGTTTCAGTCTGCGCCTTTTTCTTCAGCAAAATGCCGCTGCAACGGTTTTGGAGACGAAGAACGGACATACTGCAGTCATCGCCATAGCTGGCAAAGTTCAGCCAAACCATATTGATCATCTTCAGAGCAAACAGTGAAATAGAAACAATGTATGTTCCATGTGTGTAGAACCGTTGAAGCGGAATTTTGTTATAAAACAGTGAAGTTTCTCGATTCACAACTAATGTGCACGTGACTGAACCGTGGAACCAAGGAGCAAGTGAGTAAAACGAGGAGCAGTCGCAATTCAGTACAGTGTGTAAAAGTGGTGACGACAAAACGAATGCTTCAAGACCTCAACTCGTTCGACAGGCGACAGGCGTTTTGGTGGTGACCACCCAAACGTGGAAGAAACTGGCAAGTACAGCCAAGAACATGATGGCCTGCTGTTTGGCGGTACTACAAAGAGTTCTATCAAGAAAAGAATATGCAAATGATTGGTCAGACTCCCATTCAAGGCAATTTAAGTCGTGAATGATAACGACAAATAGACCGCAGACGCCTATAGTTTAAATACTTGCAGCTGTTAACAATGACTTTTCAAAACTTAACGCTAATCATCAGTCAAAAAGCATAAGTTAGGTTAAAGATTCCGAAATATTGATGTTGGGAAGGCCTTCCTCCATACCTCTGTGATACCTCAATACCTTTGTGAAAAAACATTTCCATTCATTTATTTTTGAAGCTCGGTGTTCTTTCCCCGTAACGATCAGCTGTGTAAGAATCCAAATGGAGGAGTTCCATTGTCTGTCCACAATGATGCTTATTTTTCTATGTAATTTCTCCGAATTATCTGATCTGCGCTCTGCCGTTTTCTCGATGACT